AAAAAAAAAAAAAATGAGAAATGGCTTGTAGGCACATTAATTTCAAAAAAATTAATAAACAAGTGTTGAAGTTCTTTCCAAGGGCCTCCCTTAATGCTGCAGTATGTGAAGAATGGGGTGTCACATTATCTGCAGCTGAAAGCAGCATGTTCAGAACACAAACCTAATACCAGCATTCTTACTAGTTTTTACATAACTACTTCCACCAAGTCCCCCAGTATAAACACTTTAAGAATTGTCAAGGGGAACCAGCAGGTGGCGTAATGGTTGCTTCACTGGACTCCCACGTAGTCAACCATAGTTCCAGTCCCAGACCAGGCGGCTTAAAACGCCCCGGGCACGTGTGCATCATGCCCAACACATGCCCAGAATCCCGAAAGAATAGAAGAGAAGGGATTGCGGTGTGGCCATCACCCCAGGGAGTGATTTCTTGCTTTCTGTCTCTGTGTTTCTCTGGAGAGTGCACATGCCCTATACCAAACATCTCTTTAAAAATAAATAAATAAATAAAAGTTGATGAAAAACAGAAAGGAAAAATTTTTCTCAATTTAAAAGGTCACAAGTTGTTTAGTTATAGATACTGTCAGTGTATCATTACTTTTCATACATAAAGAGACAACTTTCCCACTTTGGTGGGAAACGAGTTAAAGTCCCAACAAAGATGATTCTACGCATGATTGTACAGATAAAGCCGAACTTTTCTTAAGTTTTCAAAACAGTGAAAGTAATTTGTTCTTCAAATCCACTATGGAAGACTAGAAAGAACAGCGTTAAACTGTGTTAAAAGAACAATGAGAAAAATAATTTCACTGGAAGTACACTTTGTTAATATTATACTCATGAAAAAGCAAAGAGGCAAAAGAAATGTGAATAGCAGAGGCCAGAAATCATTTCATGTTACAATAAAAATACAAAATATAGCTTGTGAAAGTACAATAAGACCTTGAGGACATCTAAGATCACCGAGGAATCAAGCGTGTGGTGATTAAACACAGGACATATTGTCTTTAAAGGGTCTACCTATCTTGCCTTGATACTTTTGATCATTGTTTTGGTGTTAGAGACCTACAAAACTGTGGACACTGGAAATAACAAAGATGTGGTGCTTGCCCTTGGGGAATTTGAATAAGGAGGCAGTGTATGGCAGAATAAAAACATTCTTAAGTGCTTTCATTTTCTCATTTAAATAAACACACAATGAAAGGAAATTTTATCTAGGGAGATTGAGAGCAGAACACTTCAAATGCATATGCTATGAATACAAAATAGGTGGTTTCAAAGCAGTAGAAGGAATTTTGATTATGTGCTAAAAATTTATTTGTTTCTTCAGAGCTGTTAATGTATATGAGATAGTTAAAAGCATCTACTCAGGGTTTTGACAGTGTTTTAATAACTTAACTAAAAATCTTTGACATGTTTATAGGTCCTAGAGCCAGAAACATGCAAGGCCTTTCAATCATTTTTCCAGAAAAAGATCAGTCAGGAAAGAAACTGTTGATTTTCACTCCACATCATTGACTGATGGGAATCCAAATAGGTAACAATAAAATTACTAGTTTATGAGAAAATATAGACCTGGCATGGTGCTTAAGAGACTGGACTCTCACATAGCCAACAACAGTTCAAATCCCAGACCTTGCAGCTTGAAAAATCATGCAAGTGTGTGTGTGTGTGTGTGTGTGTGTGTGTGTGTGTGTGTGTGTGTCTAGAATCCCAGGAGAAGGGAGAAGAAGGGATTGTGGTATGGTCCCTCTGGGAGGTGATTTCTCACTGTCTGTCTCTCTCTGGTGAGTATACATTCCCTATGGGGGGAGGGGGAGAAGAAAAAGAAAGAAAGAAAATATAGATCTTATT